ACCGATGTTGTTGTAGGAAGTAGCCAAGTCGGGATGATTCGGAGGGAGAGCTATTTTGTAGATTTTAAGTGATCTTTCGTAGGATGAAAGTGCTTTTGAGTACTCGCCCATGTGACAATACACCATGGCGATGTTGTTGTAGGAAGTTGCCAAGGACGGATGATTCGGAGGGAAAGCTATTTTTCGGATTTCAAGTGATCTTTCGTACGATGAAAGTGCCTTCGAGTACTCGCCCATGTTATAATACACTATAGCGATGTTGTTGTACGAAGTAGCCAAGTCGGGATGATCCGGAGGGAGAGCTATTTTTCGGATTTCAAGTGATCTTTCGTACGATGAAAGTGCTTTCGGGTACTCAGCCATGTTATCATACACCATAGCAATGTTGTTGTAGGAAGCAGCCAAGGTGAGATGGTTCGGAGGGAGAGCTATTTTTCGGATCTCAATTGATCTTTCGTACGATGAAAGTGCTTTCGGATAGTCGCCTCGTTGATCTTCTATGATTCCACAGCTATTCAGCACATTTGCTCGCTCTATGTCCGTGGAAGATGTGGCAAATAGGTGATCACAAATTTCCTGTGCTGTTTCGTGGTGGTGAAGCTTGAGCATCAAGTAAACCATACGATTCCAGTCATTCCCCCGGATTTCCTGCCTTATAAAGTGTGTGAGAAGAGATAGTTGTGGATCATCATCGTTGGTGAGTGTGAGTTGTACTTCGTAGAGGCTATGATTGTCGAGCGCCTGTTTGATTTCGTTGACACGAAAAACTGTGTGCATGGAGAAGAGAATTTCTTCTTCGTCGTGGAATAGGCCAAGCTCTTGGATGTTAGCAAAAGGAGTTGATGAATTTGAAGGTGTAACAGTCATTATGAAAAGTATACCGACTAAGTTGGGGTCTGATGCATTGCTTTCGGCATAAGCGAAGGAAGCGTATCGATCTCGGCTGGTGGATAAAAAGTTATTAAATGAGAAGAGACCACCCTTGGTTTTTTTAAGTTTCTCAAAATCGGCTTTGGATAATCCTTGTCCTCGGTATACAACAAAGTTGGTAGTTTCTGTTTTTTTAAACTGTTTTCTGTTCCATTGTTCGAGTTGGTAGTGAAGATCTCGAATAAAAAAACTCATTTTCTTCATTGTTAGAGTATCCAGTGTTCGAAGTGACCTATTAACCGTCTGGTAGATGAAAGTCTCGCGAATATACCACGAAATTGATGTCTGATGACTGTAATTCTGCTCGAACTCTTTGATAGTATTCGATGTTGTCTTATTGTTTTTAGATTTTTCCTGCCAAAATTGAGTAAAATCTGTGATTTCTTCTTTTGTGTGATTGATTTCAAGTGTGATTTCTTTAAATAGCTGTGTGTACATAAATGAGGGTTCTATTTGATCTAGGTTTATTTTCAAACTATCTTCGCCAATGCTGACAAAACTCATAGAGATATCGTTTTGGTAACATTGTTTGATTGCATGTAGTAGTGCTTCGCAGAGACGTTTGATATCTATGTATATGCCTTTCATTTTGTTGGAATTCTTGTTCCAATCGTGGATTAGGGATTCTCTGCTGCAGAAGATATAAACACTCAGAAGACGAGGAATATCATCTACGATAGGCATCATGTGTTGATCTTTAGGATTTGACAGAATGAGAAATGCCTTTTGATCATTGAAGTCAGTGAGAAAATCTATACCTTCATCGGGTCTGGCGAAAATATATACTTCATCGGTCACATTTTGCAGCTGTGTAAGTGTACTTTTACATTTTTCATTGTTTGGATCAATGTTCTCGTCGATCCAGATAATTACATATCTTTCAGTCATGCATTGTGTTGGCTCCATAACACTCGATAAGGTCGTCGCATTTGTTATGGTATCC